CCCGCCAACACAACGGCGGCCGCCCACCCACCTCCCCCCGGCTGCTGTCGCCGCTCCTCCCCACGCCGCCGCCGCCGCCGCCGTGCCGCAGCAGCCCGCGCACAGCCTGACGGCGCCCGCGCCGCGGCGGGGCCGCGACCTGGCCGGCTCGCCGCCCGCCTCCACCTCTCCCATCTACCGAGCCAACAGCGTGGTGTCCTACACAGCCGCCCCCGCCGCCAGGCCGGGGGCGCAGCAGCAGCAGCAGCAGCAGCAGCAGCAGCAGCGGCGCGGGGCCGAGACGCCCGCCTCGGTGGCGGCGGCGGCGCACATGATGGGGACCAGCCCCAACACCAGCCGGGGGGAGGTGGGTGGGCTGCCGCCTTTGTGCTGGCTGGCCTGGGCTTGGTGCGGCCGCTGGGCGCGGTGTTGCGGCGTGGCATGATGCAATGGCCTGCCTGCTGCCCCCCCCCGCCCGCAGTTTTCGGCGGCGGTGCCGCAGCCGCGAGGGCCGCGGCGCGCCGCGGGCGCCTTCTCGGCCGGCGGTGGCGGGCTGCCCCCCACCTCTGGCCACCGCCACAGCCTGGCGCAGCAGTATGCGGCGGCGGGGCCCAGCCGGCCCTCCCTGTCCGGCAACCAGCCCCACGCCGCCGTCTCGCTGCCCTCCACCCTGGCTGTGGCTGTGGGCGCGATCAGCCCGCCCGGCGTGCACCCCGCCCAGCACACGCCGCAGCACGGCGCGGCATCGGCGCCGCAGTCCACGCCGCCGGCGCCGGCGGCCGGCCCCTATGGCGCTGCCGGCATGGCGGGGCTGCTGCCTCTGGCCACCAGCATGGGCCTGCAGCCCGCGCAGCTGAGCAGCATGGCGGCGGCGCTGCTGCAGGCGCAGAGCTCGGCGCACACGCACACGCACACGCTCCAGCCGCGGCGGCAGCAGCCGCACCAGCCCTCGCCGCTGGCGGCGGCGGGCGCGGGGGCGGGCGCGGCGATGCCGCCGCCGCCGCCGCTGCAGGCGCTGCACCTGCAGCAGGCTGAGGCGCTGCAGAGCATGGCGGCGCTGCTGCAGGCCCAGGCCTCAACCATCATGGGCGACGGCGGCGGCGGCGGCGGGAGG